CTCCCGGCCACCGCAGCCTCGACCTGCTGGGCTCTGGCGATCCTTCCGCCTCAGCCTTCCAAGTAGCTGGAACTACAGGCGCGCCCCGCTGATTTTTGATTTATTGTACCGATGAGGTTTCGCCTCTTCCGACTTTTTTTGGTGATTGTTGTAAAGACGAGGTCTCACCGTGTTGCCCAGGCAGGAGTGCAGTGTCACAATCCTAGCTCACTGCAGCCCCAAACTCCTGCCTCAAGTGATCCTCCCACCTCTGCCTCCCAAAGCACTGGGACTACAGGCAGGAGTCACTGCACCCAGCCCTGAGTTTCTGCTTTCTTAGGTGGCTCTGAATGAGCTGCAGAGCAGATAGCGAGACAGTCACCAAGTGGCTCTTTTCCTCCTTAGAACAGCTCTGCCTATAAAAGGATTGGGATTCCCCAACGAACAGAATTGCAGGAGAGCTTTGAATGCTGTTGAAATCCGGTGTGACGTCAGCTTCCTGGGAGGATAGGAAGGGAGGGTGCAGCCCCAGGGGTGGTTATGATTGCAATAATTTGGTCACCCCGTTGTGTAAAGTGGAGAGAGTTTGGCTTGGTCAAGAGACACTGGATTAACTTGTATTTCACCCACTGGTCCATCCCTTCCTTAATAGAAAACATGGCCTGTGAAGCTTGAGCAAGACTCTGTTTGTTGCTCACCTTGTTTCCTCTCACTGGATCCTGAGAATCCAAAGCTTCCTCTGCTCTCAAGGAGGCCCCAGACATCTGAGAGCTCCGTGATCTGGTTATAGCCACCCTGGGTGCACCAGCTTATGCCTTGGCTGGCTGGCTTCAAGGCATTTCTGTTCCCAGGGGGGACTTGTCTGTTTCCTATCAGAATGGAAGTAGTAGTTGGCCTTGCCGTAGCCAGATCAAAATCAGCCAGCTCACCAGGCACAGAGGCCAGGCACAGGGGCCTGCAATCTCAGGGGTTTGCAAGGCTGAGGCAGGAGGATCATTTGAGCCCAGGAGTTTGAGGCTGCAGTGAGCAATGATTGCACCACTGCACTTCAGCCTGGGCAACATAGCGAGATGCCATGTCTACAACAAATTAAAAATAAAAAATTAGACCAGGCACGGTGACTTGTGCCTGTAATCTCACTACTTTGGGAGGCTGAGCCAGGAGGATCACTTGAGCCCAGGAGTTTGAAGTTAAGAAAAACTCATCAACAATGGTGCGTGCAGTGTCACATGTGTCAAGGCTCCCCAACTTCAGAGGAAGTAGAGAGTCCTGTCTGCTTTAGAAACAAGCCCCAGGGGGACTCCTCTGTCACTTTCTGACTTACCTTTTTTCCCAGGGGACACTGGAGTGAAGATAGGCAGAGTTTTGTTGAGAAGGAAAACCTTCAGGGGAATTATGTTCCTCCTTCCTGCTTATCTGTAGGGCTCTTCCCCAGTAAGATCCAGTTCTAGGTGTTTCTGTTTTTCTGTGCTTTTTGTTTTTCTCTTGAGTCAGGGTCTCACTCTGTCGCCCAGGCTAGAGTGCAGTGGCACAGTCCACAGCCTCAATCTCCCGGGCTCAGGCAATCCTCCTGCCCCAGCCTCCCATGTAGCTGGGACCACAGGCATGTCGGCAGACCTGGCTGTGCTTTGTGTTTTGATGGGCCTTGGACATGCTCTTTGCGTTTCACCTAGAGTAACCACGCAAACATCCACATTCTGCAGAGGTTGTCAAGCAACTAGTCTTCCATTACTAAGAGACCGCAATGTAACTAACCAGCTGAGACAATGACAGAGGCTGGCTACCCCTTCCTGAGAGGAGCAGGAAGCACAGTCTACGACTGAGATCACCCCAGAAGGAAAATACCCACCCAGTCTGAGAAGGACTATCAGTCAGTTGATTTCTCTCATTTTTTCCTTTCTTTCTTTCTTTTCTTTTTTTTTTTGAATTGGAGTTTCACTCTGTTGCCCAGACTGGAGTGCAGTGGCCGCTC